TGATCAACGTACAGAGCTTTGAGTATATTATGATTATCGGTCTTCGAACCCAGCAACTGTCATAAATCTAACACCATAATAATTTGTTTTGCCAAGCATAATCGAAAAATGATTAACCATTTCCGTAGCGTTGACGGAGATTTTCAAAGTGCAGTCGTTCTGCACTCAGGATTAGGTAAACTTGGTAGTTCTTGATTTGATTTGTCTTTCTTTCCAATCGGTTTTCGGTCGCGGTTCAYGGCGTCCGGAAGACAAATAAATTCCCTTCCAAAGTCCGCGCATGGCGCTATCTAGCAGACGGGTCGACGCAAAGCAGTTCCGACGCGTGACCCGCAAACTTGGCAACGTCGCAGTGCGGGCTCAGAGACGCGACGTCGTATCCCACCACTGGTTATGGGTGGGCGGTGTGGAGGGTGACCCGTCGAGCCGTTCTCATCGTGGTACCGCCCTGCCCCGCTGGTCTAGACGGGAACGACGCCGCCGCCGCCGTCGTCGTCCGCTGGCGTTGTGTGCGCGTGCGGTGGTGAACGCAGCATTCCGCGGCTACCAAGGACAGGCCGACCGACATTTTAAGTGAAGCCGCGTAAAAGTCGGAACTCAGCCCAATGTTTGTGCATCGATTGTATTGTAGAATGTTCAAGATGCCTGCAATAGTAAACAGTACTAAATAATAAGTAGTAGAAACGATTAAAACATTACAATAAATAATCATCTAAGTATCCATAAGTCCAAAATCATAAATATAAATATAAATTATTTAACTTAAGTGTACAAAGTGTTAAATTTTCGTAATTACGTTTGAAAAGATTTTTTTTTTGTCGAACCGAATGGAATATTGACGTACATTTGGTAAACTGTCCTCAAAGAAAGCGACGAAACAGCCTCCAATAAAATGGCCCTTGTCACCAATATTGACGGGCCAAATTTACTCGATGAAAGGTGCAGTAAACAATGAAAAAAAGTCAATAAGATGCGCCCTTTAATCAGGGGATACGATTTTTTTTTTACATATATATTATATATTATTTATATTTATAATAATTAATAATTTATAATGAGCTTCGTATTCTCGGTTATCGTAACTAATAACTATATATAGTACCTATAGCTACTTTTCTGCAGTATCAGGAACAAAAAGTACCTACCTACCTAAAGTGTTTTTGGGTTTTGGATAATACCTATGACGAAGTATAAAACATGTAAGTTTTTTATTTTTTCGACAAGGATCTGTCATTGGTTTCGCGACGGAAACCGATTCCAAGCTTTTTAAAAAACGGCCGAAGGTAAATAATCAAAAACCGATATACATTTCTGTAGTTTTTGGCTTCGGCGTCCGTCGGTATGCGCATCGATTGGACGCCGCCATCTTGTTTTTTTTTATTTCTCGATACGTATTTGCGGTATATGCGTATGTGTCATGTATACGATAATATGTATATCATATCCGTGTTCGTCGATGATGTGTTGTGCAACACGCCTAACCGCGCCCCTCTCCACCCACTCACWTTGAATTATAAAAAACCTAGACCGTTCACTCGGTGTCTCGGCCCGTGGTTTCTCCTCTCTTCTTCCGCTTTGTTTCAATTTCACGACTGGGGCGAGTTCTTCTCATACCTTTCTAAATAATATTCTATTAGTACTCTAATCATATCTATGCTATTTCGTTGTTAATACTACTAATATTATTACTTTTATAATWATTATTATTTTTCTGTCTGTCGCGCGCCACCACCACGCTGTAGAGMATACATATATATTACATAACGTGGATGTACCCTCTTTCTTTGCCGTTCGAAAAGCAACAGACGACGGCTGCGGCTGCCGCACCAACGCCACCGGCGCGGCGCCCCTACCGTAAAAATAATAACAATAATTTTCGTCGTCTCCGGCCCGCCTCGCCGACTGGGGGCCCCCCTCCCCTCGTCCCCGATCCGGTCGATCCCCGTTCTCGAGAAGATCTATCACGCTTCGATGCCGTCCGGCCGCAATGGCTGCATACTGTGCTGGCCGAGCTTTGTCCACGAGAAGAATCATCATCGCGTGATAACATTCATTTCGCGTACTCTTCTTTCCCATATCTTACTTCATTTTTACCATAATACAGCAATGCATTATGTTATGTTCGCATACGCTCATAATAATATTGTGATTATACGTAATATAATATAAATATCTATTGATTATTCGTAACCACAATACTAAAATATATCGAGATATTTTTTTTTCGTTAATTTTGTTGCCGACAAACCATCACCAATCGCAGCAATCGTCGTTATTGTTAAATCACAACAAAGACGTTTTAATGTCATACGTCATCGTAATAATGCAATGCATCCGAGATCCCATTACAATAATATATAATAATTGAATCACATCATATTTAATTATTAGATTCACACATGACACATCATGGTATTAGACCAACAAATTGTTCTAAGGTATCAGTATAGTAATATAATCATCATAATAATAATACAATATTAATGAATCAATATAACTTAAGTCGTATAAACAATATAGGTAACTACTCGATATTCACGATTAAGTACCAGATTATTTAATATTACATTCGGCGGAACTTAGGTTTTATAGATTTTGTTTTTTTTTTTTTTTGCTTACCATCTATTTTCACCATACCATAATGTCATATAATATTATTACGTTTGTTTTTTAKTAATAGGAAATCGATGAATGTGACTTAGGTACAGTAATGCAATGACTCTCCGTGTCCTACATTTGATCGGGTGATCTGTTGCGTTTTGAAAGTACATTATAATATTATCTCTTATATATTATATTATTTTTATTTGAATGCTTGATACTCATTAAATTTCTCTCGAAAATTGTATCTTAAATAGTATTTCAATGCAGTAGTGTTATATTTTTACTCGCTAATATGTATTTTATTTTATGATCTAGACTCTTATTTTTTATATTTCGTTTTCACAACTTTTGGTAAATTCTGATTTMATTCTCGTTGATACGAAACTATAACTATAGCTGTTCTATTTCTTGAAATTCCTTACATATACGCTTTTTAATTTCTAAATTCTGTCTACGTATAATATATAATCATATTTGGTCAAAGTGTAAAGTGCATTAGGCATATTATTTTATATAATGCGTTAAAATACAAGAATTTCAGAAGTCAATTTAATGAGTTATTGAGTGCACACTGCACACTGTATATTGCGTTGTTGCCATTTTGTCGGAACTGTGTTGCTCATTAAATCGTGATTTTCAGTATTATGCAGTAGGTATTTAAATTGACCAAAACTGTGGTCTATGGTTTTTCTAACACTGCTTATTAAATATTAATATAATTACATGTTCGTAAAAAAATATATATATATATTATTATTAATTATGTTTTATCTAGMTATTATCGTATTAGTTTAAAACTAAAATATTAGGGTTATTATTTATTAACATAATGATTCCTAAAAGTGTTCCACGTTGGTAGGTGGTGTTTATTAAAAATTATATTATTTTGAGTATTTTATTTGGTATATTAATAATACAAATACACATATCGTTTGTTTTTCTTCAATACAATTGAAAAATTTAATGTAATCCTCACCGATTTACCAATGTCTATTTAAATTTCAATAATTTTATATATCTATATTATTTAATACATTGGCCATATAGAATTGTATATTATATTGTCATAACACTAGTGTTTAAACTTAAAAAGTTAAAAACATCGCCCAAATGCAGTACCTGCTTATGATTATTTAGTATACTGATTTATTTTTAAAAAAATTTAAATTTTTTTACTGAATCATTGATTGGCAGAATCTTAAAATGGAAAAAGTTTTGCATTAGTAAGAATACATTACATTAACGCTCACCGATTCTCAATAAAATTTTTTTAAATTTTGTATTCCTACCGATTTTTGTAATTAAAAATTTCGGATTGTTATCTATAGATTTTGTATTGGTGGTACATATTATTTGAAATATGCGTAAATGTAATATAGAAAACAATGAAAACATAATCTTGTAATGCAACGATATAAATAAGTTTTCTATTTTGTTACGCGTAATTTTCTATAGTTTATTCAAATATCGGTCGTATTATCTCATTGTTAATTTTATGGGCTTATATTTTATAATTAAAAAATTATATTAATTATCTTGGTGTGTAATAAAAATATTAAATTTTTAGTTTATACGAATATTTTCATTCTTCAATRCACGCATACATAAATTTGCAATCGACGTATTCGACAAAATTAATTTTAAATCTCATCAATTGTTATTGCAATTTTATTAATTATTACATTAAATTATTAAAACAATGCAATTCGTAATATTTTTATTTATGATCTCAAATACATTGTTTTAGGATTTTTTTTTATTTATTCTCATATAACTATATGACAACAAATACTAACAGAATTGTAACAATTAAATACTAGGTAGAAACTTGAATTTAATAGTGCTTCAAATAATAGTAAAACCAAACTATCATTAAAAATAACATCTCAGCTGATTTTCCAAAGTATATTTATAGAGAATAAATAATATTTACTCTATRMTAAAAGTTATTAATTTAACTCATTTGTCTACTAATGTATTCATTGCAATCACCTTAATAATATATTTAAGTAATCAACAATTTAGGTTCTACCAATACTGACTCAATTACCTAGTAGGTATTTTGATGGAAACTAATCATCTTCATTTAATTCTTAGAAAATAATGAAGTATAATTTCAAAGAATATAATTGATTTTTAATCTTGTTTAAAATTTGTAATTACTGTAAAATATAACAATTTTAGTCGCTAACATTAATACAATAATTATTAATTTACATTAATTAATTAAAACCAAAAAATTTGCTTATCATAAAATTATTTTTGCTCAATATGTTYCTGATACTGTTTTGAAGAGTTAGATTACATTCATGTCRAATAGAAAATAAAATATGATATTTCATTTAACAAATAACTATAAATAATAATTTTAGCTAAAATATTTTTAATTGTTTTAGTAATGGTAATAGTTGCGAAAATGAGGTTGATGAAGACCTTGAGGATGGAGAGATTTTTGATGAAGATGATACTGAGATGGTTGAATCTACTGAACAAAATACAGAGCCTAAACTATCTAAAGAAAATTGTCTCGGAGAAGGTGCTAAAGAAAAAGATTTTGAGCCTCCATGGGAAATGGTAAATAACAAAGCTATACGATAAACTATAATTTTTTCTTAGTAATAGTTGTATACTAGTTGCTTCTAAAATAAAAATAAAAATAAAATTTGACCATACATAATATTTTAATTTGTTTTGTATGTGTTTTTAGGAACAAAGACCTCAACAATCTTCTCATAAACAAATGATACACTCCCCTTTACATAAAAATTTTGCTGGATTTAATAACGGCAGACCTAGGGATAGATTTCCTAGAAATAAAGGGACTGTAATGAAACGAGATGTTGGTTATCAAATGGATGATGATAGACCTAGACGTAAAAGACGTARATTTGATCAAAGTGATGAAAAAGAACAACCCATAATGAGAAATAATCAAAATGTAAGCAATTGTCTGGATAATTGAATAGAATGTGTGGTTTATTATTTATTATATTTATTAATATTATGTATAATCTGTTAGGGCTTATTTAATAGAAGAAAAAACATTGATCCACCAATAGAACCTGTTGAGTCTGGTAATGATGAAGAAATGCCATATGTAAGAGGAACCAACAGTCCTGACATTTCAAGCTTTGAGTCATTTGCTCAAGAATTTGGTAAATCATCTTTATTTATCTAATATTTCTTAATATATCTTAATTTAGTTGTATTAGAATCCTGAAGTTATTTTCAGATTTATTTAATTTTTATAATTTTTACGTTTTATATATTTTCTTGATATTTAATTGTGTATTATTTTTATATGGCAACATATTAAAATCAATACAAGTTGATGTGATTTTTCAAAATGATTTAAACAAATTATTACAAACAAATAATGTTAACTTAAGAATACAATTTCACATTTAATGAATTAATATTATTTGTTTGATAGTAAAGTTTTGTGCATAACTGTTAAAATTGTTTATGCCTCAACATAATTGTAACATTGTTGTTTATCATACATCATAAAATTAAAATTTTTTTAACAGAAAATGACGAAGAATTTCGCCCTTCAAATAACTTCGGCCGTAGAGGAAGAGGTAGACGTGGTGGTGGTAGCGATATGGATAGACGAAATAGGGGTATGCCTATGAAACGAAGAATGATTGCTGGATCAGCAATGAAAAATAAACGATCTGAAGACGAAGAAAAAGTTTGTCAATATTTCCTTCAAGGGAAATGTCTTAAAGTAAAATTTATTAGAATTATACAATAAAATCATGAATTTATTTATTTTACTGTTAATATTTTATTTTAAAGGAAAATAATTGTACCTATTCTCATCAACAACCAAATGGTCGTAAAATGGAATTGTGTAAGTTTTATTTAATGGATTGTTGTAGTAAAGAAGATCGATGTACATTTATGCATAGCGAGTTTCCTTGCAAATACTATCATACTGGCATGAAGTGTTATTCAGGTGTAAACTGTCGGTTTAGTCATGCCAAGCTTGATGAAGATCAAAAAAAAAAATTATTGAAGGTAACATGTTACGARCAATTACATTGTTTTAAATATACTATTCAACCTACTGAATTACACAATAAAAATAATATTTATTAATATGTGTTTTAGTCTTTTGGAAAATTACGGTACGATCCACCAGAGTATGAAAATGAAAATCAAGATTTTAAGGTATTTTTATTTAAAAATTTTTTAATTTATTATATACTATATTTGATGTAAGAAAATGTYAGCTCCTCATTTGTTTTGTCGCTGACCAACAAACAAAACACCAAATATATGTTTAGTTGAACTTATAACTTACCACTTTAAATATTGGATTTGATTCATCTATTACCTAATTTTAAGCTAATGTCATTACATTAGCTTTATTATGATAATTTAATTTTTAAACAATTTATAATTATTATTAAATTATAATAATTTATATGCTCATAACATAGCGACACAGGTTATGTCATAAATAGTGATAATAAGTGAATTCATTCTAACATTATTGTAACAATACAGTTTTGGTTCTGTTGAACGTAAGTTTCCTATGTTGTTTTTTTAGAATGAAAGAGAAAAAAATAATGCGCCGCGACATAATATTGACTATTGTTTATAGTTTATTCTCCATTAATTAATAAATATAATTGATATTTTATTTTTCAGAACGATTTTGAAGAGGAACCAAAACCACCACCCTCCACAGAAACTAATTTTGTATCCAAAAATGATAAAAGTAAAATTCCATCATTATTGGAAATGCAAATACCTGTACCTCCTGAATTAAAAAGCACTGAGAAAAACTCAGATGAAGATCAAGGTATAATTACACAATATATATATATTTTTTTAATATGTATGATATGAAAACTATTATATTTTTCTTTTAGAGGCTAATAATAACAACAACAATAACAGTAGTACACCAATGCCATCGCCTTCACAAGAAGAGCCTATGGTTGATGACATATTGTAAGTATTACTTATAATTGAACATTTTGGCAAGTGATATAGGTACCAACCAATTAGTACAGCCAATAATAAGTAGGGTATAATTAATTGGTTTTATTGATCACTGTTTGTTACTACACTACACTAACAATGTCAATAATATAAATCAAGTATATCCAACACAATTTTTCAGAACAACTATTTAAAATTATACAATTGGTACATAAAATCCTTGCAAAGTTTGCATTTAAGTTATTGCTTTTACTTGCTCAATTTTTAGTATAATCATATATTTTTTTATTTTAGTGATATCAACGAAACTGAACAAGTACCAAATGGTCTTCAAAATAATCGCTCAATATATAAACCTAGAAAATATCAAAAACACAAAGATAGCAAAGAAAGACAAAAACAAGAAAAGGATATTAGGAAGAAACAAAGAGAAGAGAGACATGAAGAAAAAAGGATAGAAAAAAACCGACAACGAAAAGAAGACTTGTCCATACAGACTAACGATCATCCTTTATTAGATGATCTAAGTGATGATGATGAATTTAATGGCAAGTTAAAATATAAAATAACTTATTATCCCTTACTAAACATAATATTTACTATTTATTTGTTAGTTAAACATGTACTCATGTTTTTATATTATTAAATTGGAGCAAAAATTATATAGTTTTATGATTTGTTTTTTAATTGGTTTTAGATCTTGTTATTGATGAAGAAAAATTCCAAAATGATGTCAAAGATCAATTGCTACCAAAAAAACAGAAAGAGCTATTAAAACGAATTCAAGTCCATCAAAAATATGTAAGTTCAAAAATTGTTAAGTATAGTTGATGTGTTCAATTTTTTAGACTAATGATAATTAAAATTAAACAGTACWCAATTAATAGATTTAAATTATAAATTAAGAAAATTATTAATATCTTGTTATTATTAAAACTGAGTTAAATGTTTTGATGACAATTGTTTATAGTATAATGAAACAGATTTAAGTGAAGATCATTATAGTCAAGAGGAGCATTATTCTAGTGATGTTTCAGAGCATTCAGTTTCTACACCCATAAATAATCCATTAAATAATTTTCAAAATGAAGAAAAAGAACAGTCACCGACAAATTCTTTATCTAAGTCAAACTCATCAAAAGTTGAACAAGTATGTATCCATACAAAATAATTTTCTAAAAAATAATACCTATTATAATGTTTTAATTCTAATATTTGTGTAATTTCAATAGTTTCTTAAAGKGCAATATTAAATTTATGAATTATTTTGGTATTAAATATATTATAATTTATATTTAAACAGGTTAATCTTGATAAAATTACTATAAGTGATGATATGGCTAAACTACTCAACACCATAAAAGCATGTGTTGATAAATCAACAACAGTAGATCAACATTCTCCATTTCATTTACCAGCATTGGAACAGCCTTATAATTTTGAAGAAACTATTCAAGAAAAGTATGTWCACATCATGTCATTTTAATCAAAAAATAATCTTCCTTCTTTATTTAATACAATTATTTTGTGATTGTAGAAAAAGTATTATTGAAGAATCTCCTGCTAGTCCTACTACTAGTGATGGTTGTGCTGTGGAATTTGGAAAATCAGATGTAGATCTAAGACAACTGCCATTTCAATTTCCTGTTGCAGCAGCTACCGAGATAGATGCTTCTCTTGATAGTCATCCACCAATGAAATATCATATGTCACCAACCCAAGTGTCTGTACCAGATTACTCTAAAATTCCACCTACGGTAGATAAAATTAATATTATTTCAATTGAACAATTTGATCAAACTTTTATATTTTATTTAGATGGGAATTGATGATCCAAGACTTAAACGTAGTATAACAGCAGCGAGGGATCCAATGTTTGTTCAAAATGTCCCTACTACTGTTAGCGCAGTTACTGTTAGACCAGCAGTGGCTCCTCAAAAAAGTTCTACCCGAGATCCTAGAAAACCACAACAAGATGTTAACACCTGTGCATCAGCTATTCGAACTCCACTTCTACCAACACCTAATCCAATTCAACCTCGGCCCATGGATAGTGATATGAGGCATATGCCTCCACCTATAATGTGTCCACAAATGATGGCGGTACCTAATGATCCACGCAGGAAACCAATGGTTCCTGGAGATCCTAGACAAAGGCATCGTTTTGATGTGGACCAAAGAATAAATAATATAAATTATTTTTAATTTTATAATTATTTAATAATGTTTAAACTTTATTCTTCTTAAATTATCTATTCTTGGACTTTTTGTTCAATTTTTTTAATATTATGTTATGTACACTTATTCAATTACTTACTAGTAAACAATTAAATAACAATGACTGATTTGTTTTTTTGTAGTTGAAATCTTAATACTATTGTTATTAAGACTGTTGCAAGGAAAATTAAGTGAAAATTAAGTGAAATGTAATAGATGATTAAGTTTTAAATTAGTGAAAACATTTTATTATTTTAAGGGATCATTTGTTTTATATCAATGACAGTACTACATTAGTTCTTAACATAGATATAGGTGATTTATTTTGTAAATTAAAAATGGACATAATTTGTAAGTTATGAAATAATATTTTTTTTATGTACCCGAGTGCTTTATTTTATCATTGTTATACCATAGTTGAGTATTACAAAATTAGTATAACTAAAATACATAAATACTGTTATGTATATTTTGAGTTATGTAGCTGTAATTTTGTTGTCTATTTTTGAAGTATTCKCTTCATTATACATAATGCGATACCTATTTAGCTGTTGTACACAGTGACTAAAAGTATTAATACATTATATTTATGATATTGTATAGAAATACATTTCTGTTTATTTATGCCTGTTGTTAGTATGTGAACTTATTATTTAATCGATAATTTAATTTTTATCATTCAATATTTTTATATTTAATAAAAATAAAAATAAAATACTTGTATTAAATAATGGTATGGCAAAGAGAGTAATCTAAAAAATTGGTGTGTTGTCAGTGGGTAGCGGCCAATAGATATCTAATTTATTATCAATTACTAATTTAATATTTTATTTGACATGTAATTTAAAATATGATGGCAAATGACTATTGGGTTTATGATGATGTATAGTAGAATCAAATATTGTTAGTTTTATTTTTTGGTTAGAGAAGAAAAGGAACTTGCTTATATTATATTATATAGGTATACGAATGTATGATTATAGTTTATACTRAAAAATCATTTGACCAAGTTTGATGAAAATTTCAGAGATTATGCATAAATATTATTGATGGACATTATTGAACATTTTCCTATATATTCATAAAGTATTAAATATTTAAATATATGATGTTTTTAAGTTTTTCTCATTTATTATTTTATAAATTAATTTAAAATGTTTGTTCAAGACTTCAATTAACATAAGTGTAATAGTTAAATAAACAAAAAAAATCCCTCACGTCAACCTGCTATCAAAATCGATTCCCTTGAGATTGGGTATCGCGTATAGGGATGGGTAGAGATACCAAAATTTATTCGGCACGTGACGCATTCTCTCGCTGGATAAAGTATAATATATAGGTATATATTGATAATTCAGCAACAAATTAATATACCTGTTAGAAGAAAAGAAATATTAGACAGATGAATAATTACTTAACTTGGTAGACTACTAAATGCAGGCAAAGTTGAAGAAGAAAATAATTTTAACTGCAGGCAATTGAACAATTTTATTACTGAATGTCTGAATGACATGCATAAAATATAAAACGACATTGATTATTTGAATTTCGGTTACTGGTATGATATTACACCCGTACCAATATAGATTTTTCAGAAWCAATGGCAAAAACGTTTTTATGAATTATTTTAATCGTCACGTAGGTAAGCATCATGTATCTACTATACTTCTTCTGTGTAATGATATGATACAATATATATTATATATACCTACAGTATAGTGTATACACTTAATTCGTTTGATGACAGTAAATAAAAAAAATTGTATTAGTAATCTTATGTTTTATGAATCATATTTCATAGTAATACATTAAGGTATACTGGACGAGCAGAAGTTGAATACCTAATGTTATAATGATATAATGAATAAATTTTGATTCATCAGAAAAAGTTATTAAAATTTAATTATATATTATTGATAAKTTATTAGTACTCGTCACTTTAACGCTATACTATCGTTAAAATATAATTGTTACTTCATGCTTTAGATATTATAGTAATAGTATATTTGGTTATTACTATTATTATACTTATTAATATTGATCTAATGATCTATGACAGTTAATAACTACAAATATGCGTAAATTATACTACGCTGGTTTGAAATGGTTGAATCGTTTTCCATGTTTTGCTGTATTCAATATTCAAATATTGTATAATTTTTTTATATTATAATGTTAATTGTATTGTGAATCACTGGTGATTTTTACGACTTGACGAATCAGTACCACAATCGATGTTTTATTTACATAAAATATAAAATATAAATGATACCTACAGACTGAACAAGACAAAAAAAAAAATCTAAAACAGGATTGGGTTATACATTTTTGTTAGGTAAAATATAAATTCCAGATTTTATACCATTAGTATAAATAATCAAGTAGGTCAGTCAGTATAGATTGCATAACCGTTCAAGCGTTTAACATAACTTATTATAATAATAAAATTACGAAAGGCTTTCTTTGCTTGTATAATGTATTGTGTGCTAATTGAAGCAAGCACGACCAATAATCAATCGGAAGAGACGTAAAGTGTTGACAGTGGTGCGCRCACACACACACACACTTACGATTTCTATTAGTACAAAATTTCAAACGCATATATTTATATTGACCAAACATGCCCACCCATTTTTCTTCAATGATGCAGAAATGCAATTCTTAAAAAGGCGGGTAAGTCGTGGATGTCGCTCTGCTGTACAGTAGGTTACAAGTGGGTTACTGTAATGGATGGAATTAAATTTGAATCCAATGATAT